GTCTCTGAGGAGGCTGATGGAACAGAGACGAGCTAGAGTTAATGGCTGTCTTGACTGTGGAGCACAGAGGTCCTGGTGTCACTCTGTAGCCTGCTGTGTTGCAGAAGAGCTAAAAAGTCAGGTGGTGGGTGTGGGGACCGAGGGAAGGTGACCCTGCCACTCACATGCAGGACACCGAGAGAAAATGGCCAGCTCTGACCTCTCTGGCAGCTCCTCCCAGCAGCCCTGAGCCCTGCTCCTGCTCCACACACAAAGGACAGACACACACACAATCCAATTTGTTACACTTCCACCTTCCAGGGAGAGAGGGAGGTGAAAGAAAAAGGGAAAAAAATCCCATTATCTTTATCTGTCCTTCCATCAGGTGCAGCGGAAAATGCAAACTGGGGAGACAGCGGCTGTGAACTCTTTATATTTCACTCAGAAGATAGTGTATCTTTTTATTGCATAGAGGAATTACTTATTTGAAAAAAATATATCCTTTCAGCACCAAATGAAGGAGAGAGAGAGGGCGACAGAGTTCCTGGGCCATTAACAGGGCATTTGCATTAAATGGCAGGGCTCTCTGGAGGTCACAGCCTACCCAGGAGACTGCAGGGAAAAGGAGAGGTGTTCTCAGCGCCTCCCTGCTGTGTGACCAGGGCATGGTCACAGCACCTCTCTGAGCTGCAGAATCTCCCTCTGCATCTTTGAAGCACTGAAACAGAGCAGCAGCCACAGGAGGAAAGAGAGGAGACAAAAAGTCTCCATTGCCTTCTGTTCCTGCGTGAAGGGGTGAGGACCTTCTCCTCACCACAGGGCGACTCCATTCCCAGCAGAGAGCAGCCCAAGATGGCCTCTTGGGATATGTTTGCTGAGGAGTTTAAGCAATGCAAGGGGCACCCAAACCCAATACCTGTGGGGGTGTGGGATGGGGGTAGGAACAAAGCTGAGGAGGACAGCCCCATGGAGAGCAGAGGGGTGCCTCGGGTCTTGTGTTTGAGCCCCACCTGCTGCACAGTCCCTAAGCCCTGCCTGGGACATCTTTCCTTCTCTAGTTTCCAACACACTAGAAGGAAGGCTGGCCCTGTGCCCTTCCCATGGCTCCTGCGATGGCTATTTTTATGTCAGCTTGGCTGGGCCATGGTGCCCAGCTAGCTAGGTAGTAAAACACTCTCCTGGATGTTCCTGTGAGGATGTTTTGGATGAGATGAATACTTAAACTGGTGGAGTTGGAACAGAGTGAACCGGCCTCCACAATGTGGGTGGACCTTATGTAGTTTGGTGAAGGCCCAAATAGAGCAAAGCCTGCTTTCCTTCGAGCAGGAGGGACGTCTGCCAGGAGACGTGACCTGGGTGTCTGGCCTCTCCCTTCCCTTGCATTTTTGGACTTGCCAGCCTCCATGATCTATACTGAATGTTGGTGTCCTACCCAAACTGGAAGTTAAGTCTGAAAACAACATGGTGGTATGTAGGAGACTGGGTCCTGAGTGAACCCTCATATGTGGGATTTGTGCCTTTACAGAAGCACTCTCTTGCCCCCTCTGCCATGCGAGGACACAGCAGGCCTCACCACCATAGAATGTTCTGATGTGTTGTTGGCCATGGCCTTGCCAGACTTCAGTTCTATGAGAAATCATTCTGTTGTTTTGAAGTTACCCCATCTGGGACTTCTCTTAGCGCGTGATTCATTAAGTTCGCCGTAATTGCATGAGCCAGTTTCGTGTCCACCTTTCTGTACACAGATCCTATGGTTCTGTTTCTTTGGAGAAACTAATTCATCTCGGTTGCCCACCTCAGTGCCTTACTATCTGGCAAAGTCTGGAAGCCTTCACTGGAGAAGCAGTGGACAGAGGTGGTGGGAAGGGGGGCTAGGCCCTGTGAGGGGTCACCGTGAGGATGAGGGGCAGGCGGAAGGGGGTGGGGCTGGATTTACTTGGGAAAACTAGGGGCCCTGGCTTCCCTCCAGGCTGGGCTGGGGCAGCCTGGCTGGCCTTGCAGGGGAGGGCGGCCAGGGAGAGAGAAGGCTGGTGCCGCCTCACACATGAAACCCTCACCCCTGGGAGCAGGGCATGGCAGGGAAGGGCGGATGTTGAGCTGTCTTGTCTCTTTCCAAAGCACGTGGTAAGGGAGTCTCTCTGTGCCCATGTGTGAGAGTCCCTTTGGCATAGATTAATTTTTGATAATAATCACAGCTCACATCTGTAAATTGCTTTTAGGCTTTCAAAGCACTTTTACCTACAAGATGGGAAAAATGTGCTTTGCCTCTTCCTCCCCTTGGGGGCCATGAGGCGGAGTAGAATAGTGTGGAAGGTGCATTTGGGTCTCCGAGGATGCCCCATGTTTTCTTGTTATATAATCTGGCTTTGGTGAAAGGAAGATCAGTCTTGGGGGTGACTCCAAAATCTGGATTTCATTTCAACAAAGAACATTCCTCGGGAAATCACAGACTATGGGAGGCCTTCTTGAGGAGCATGGTAACACCTCCTCAGTGGAAGGGGACCCTGAGGCACCCTCCTATGCCTCACCCCTTTATCCACTCCTGCTGCAGGCCTCATTCCCAGATCCCCCCACAGCACCCATGATAGGAGAAGCTGCCCCTTTGTTCTCTTGTGCCTGAAGCATCAGCAGCCATGGCGAGGCCCAGTCCCTGCTAGGAGGTGGCCCTTCTTTGGCCTGAGCAACCTCTAGTGGCCAGAGTGGCAGGTCTTGGTGGCCGGGTTGCCCTTGGGCTTCCTTTACTCATGGGGGGTGGCAAGATATGGGGGCAGCTGCCTCGATGCTGCCACCTTCTCTCCAGATGGCTCATTCACATCTCTTCAGTAACACTCTGCTTTGCTGGGCTTGTGCCACCCAGGGACACTTTCGAAATCTAGTAAAAAACCTCTTCCATCCCTCACTCAGGGGTGAGGATTCCGGGCAGGGAGGACTGACCCTGAGCAGCATTTGCCAGCTCAGACACAGTCTCCCCAGGAGCCCAAGCGGGCACAGAAGGGTGACCCCTGACTCTGCATCCAGAGGGTGACTCCTGTTAGAGGGCTGAGAGGACCTTGAAGAACAGGACGCCATCCTTCCCGAGTCATCAGGTGTTAAAGCTGCCACGGCGGGGTGTGCTCACCACCCATCTGCCCGTTTCTGGTCGGGGGAAGAGCCATTCCAGGCACTGCGGCCCCCACTGCCTCCCTGTGGGAAGTCAGCCATTCCGGACCACTGGAGGCACACAGTTCTAGACGCAGGCACGCACGCACGCAGGCAGGCAGGCACGCACGCAGGGACGCACGCACGAACGCACGCACGCACACACGCACGCACGCAGGCATTGCACCTGTACACCAGTCCAGCCTCCCAAACACTCTCAGCATGAAGCTTCCTACACTAGCTCCCCCTGTGACCCTGCTACGTCACCATCAGCTTCCCCCCCCCCCCATTGTGCAGACAGGGACAGGAAGTCAAGACTGGAACGCTCCCCCTCCCCCATGGCTCCACAGATAAACAACAGGAAAGGTGGGTGCTACCTGGTTACTCTAGTAAGCTCAACTGTAGGATATCCATTATGGAGCACCCCGCTAAATTGTTTGGGGGTGTGGAACACAGGGGTCTTCCCAGTAACTGTCTTCTCTCCCGCTGGTTCATTCCATCAGTGAGGGATCCTCACGGCAGCAAAGTCACTGAGTGCAGACACACTGTAACCCCTGACCACCCAGGGGTCAAAGCCCAGGGACACATATGCCACACCCCAGCTCCAAACCACTTCTCATGTACATTTCCTTCCCGCACCATGTATAACAGACACAGAGACATCTCCAAAATGAAGGGGTGCTCATGCTCGCCCTACTTCCCCCTGGAGTTGGTGCCCCAGGCACAGGGCCCAGCACACCCTGCCATGCACCAAGAGGATGCGATGAGTCAGGCAGTAAGATTGAAGGGAATGAGCAGCATCTCCAGGCATCAGAATTTGGGGGGAGGTAGGGCAAGGCAGGGAGGGGAGATGAAAATTCCCTGTGGATTTTAGCAAATAGCAGGGATGCCCATCTGTCTCGGGTGGCTTAGCCAAAGCCAGCTTAGAGGCCAGATGGAGGGATTAGGGCCCTGGAGGTCCTCCCACCCCTGAAGTTGCCATGAATCTCCAGACACAGCGCATACACTCATTGACGACTTCTCTCCATGCCCAGGATCAACAAACAGGCACACACCAGTATGGCCGACTGTTCCCAATCAGTGCTATTCTGATGAGCAGTAATAGCACCCAGTGTCGTTATGGGCTTTTACATTCATCGGCTCATTCAATTTCTACTATAAGGTGAGCACTATTATTATTTCCATTTTGGAGGCAAAGAAACAGACACGGAAGGAACAAGCAATTTGACTGAGGTCACCGTTTGGGCTTGGTGGCCCAAGGCCTCGAGTCCAGGTACATTTGTTGGCATTACCCACAGTGCTGAGTGGGACACTATCCTGCGAAACACTGAATCCAAGCCCAGCCGGCCCCAAGGGGCAATTCCCTGTTGACACAGGCTACATGATTGATCTGCTCATGGAACAACCCAATAGAATTTGCTCTCTCCAGCCTCCCTCACGCAACCAGATCCCTCCTGTTTAGGTAGTCAGGGAAAATGACAGGCCCAGAGCAGAGGGGCAGGGGTTAGCCAGGGGTGCAATGAAGACAGTGATAGGACCAGAGACTAGCAGCCTCTGGCTCTAAATCCCCTTTCCTGCACAGCGACACCCCTATGTGTGAGCTGCTGGGAAGGCCCCACAGGTGGTCAGGTCTCCCACAGATTGCCATCCCCCCTTGCTTCTTACTGCTAAACAGCCATAAAAGTGCACCCTTCTGGACTGTGGAGGAACCACGAAGGCACCCACCCCGGGCTCCTAGAGACCAGGCTTCCCTGCTGACCCTCTCCCTCTGCTCCCTGAGCCTGGCTGCACCTTGCTGCTGACAGTTGAAAGGAAGGGGGCTCCAGCCATCGCAGGAAGGGGTGGGGTATTGGGGGGGTAGTATCTGGTGGGCACCTACTCACCCAGGTCCATATCTGCAGCCTTAGGCCGGTGGGAGCAGGGCACATTCTTGAAGATGGCGTCTAGAATCTTCTCCTTGACCTGGGTAATGGTGTCGCAGTTGAGGATCTTCACTGGGACCTCTGGGCTGTTGGCATTGTCGGGGTTGACACAGCTCAGGACCTGGGAGAGCAGAGAGAGGAGGCACGTTGGGGAGGGTTGCACACGGGCCTTGGGACTCCCAGCTGCATCCAGGGGCCTCTGCAGCTGGGCTAGAGAGGGGCTGGGCCCCTAGCCCAGCTGTGTTCCCACCAAGCCTTCCGCCCTTCTGTCCAGACAAGCAGCAGGAATCAGAGCTACACACTTAACTTCCCATCACAGCAAACTTCATTAAAATCCTGGCTGCTCCAAGGGAATAATGTGCACGCAGGTGGAGGCACAGAAATCTGCATGAGAATGGACACTAATGCATGCAGGCACACTGCAGCCTCTCACACCCTCACGCACGAGCACACACGCGGGCCGGCACGCATGGTACAGGCGCCATCTCGGCAGCCGGGCACCCCCACCCCCACCCCCACCGTGTGTGCCAGTCTGTCTTTCTCGCTCCCTCTCAGACACATTCACACTAATGGGAATCTGACTCCTGTCTCAAAAGATTTCATGAGCTTCGATTTTTGTAAGGGCTTCGGGCTGACTGGAGGTTGGAGAATCCATAAGAAGCCGTGATTTTCTTTAAAAATAAAATGGTGCCCTTTACAAATTGCAGTTTCAGGTGAGATCCCTTCCTGCCTTTGAACCTGAAACCTGGTGTCAGACAAAGAGACTAGCCTGCTCAGGGTCTCCGTGTTTCTTTCTGGAACTAACTAGAAAAATGAAGATTTTGCTTAAAAACACCAAACTATACTCCATTAAAAGTTCTGAGCTGTTTCCAAAGACCTTTCTTCTCTTGCTGTTCTCCAAGAGGGCTCTCTACTTGGACAATGGGGTCCAGAGGAGGGGGTCCCCAGCGGCAGGCGTGAGGATTACAGGGCACAGCTGCAGCCATGCCATCCCCCACACCCCGGCCCTTGTCCCTGGCTGGGCTGCTGAGCCCTCTGGGTCTCCCCCTCTGATCTTTCACTCCTCCCCCCAGCCATTTCCCAGGGTCCTGTCTGGTTTGCAGATTCAGACAACAGCCCTCCCGCTCCACGCCCCCTCCCGCTCCTCCTGGCGATGGAAGCTGGGCCCCGGACGGACACCTGCCTTTCATTAACGGCCAGACTGCCATCAGCTCCAACAGGAACATGCTTATTCCATTAAGAAGGGAAAAACCTCCTAAACTTATAAAACTGAACTCACCCTCAGAATGTTCTAAACTGAAAAGGATGGTGGAAGAAGTCTGGACCTCGTGTCCCTTCTGAGCGGCCTCGCCCAGCCATGCCCTTCCTGATAAGAGCCTCCTCGGTGGTCAGGCACAGCCTGCTGCCTTGAGCCATGTGTTTCATCCTCTGCCAGGCAGTGGCATGGTTTTCCTGGTCTGCCTCCCCAAGAGAGCAGGAAGCACAGGCTGCCACATGACTGTGTTCTCTTGGCATTCCTACTCTGCTGGGGCTTACAGAGGCCTCGTGAACGACTCTCTGGGATGCCTTGGAGCAATCTGGAGATGAAGCCACAGCCCCACGGAGGGACCGGGTTCCCTGACCACTGAGCAGCCATAGTTCCACCAGCCCTCTTCCCCCATGCCTCAGCCCCCGCCTCTTGGCCAGTTTCTGAGGAACCCGACATGTGTTTTTCTGGCAAGCCAATGTTCTCAAAGTTTAATATGAACAGAGCCACTGGAGGGTTTTGTCGAAATGCAGAGTCTGACTCTGGAGGTCTTGGATGGGACCTGAGAGTCTGCATTTTGAAAGGCTCCCAGGTGAGTATCTAGCACTTTAATAAGCTCCCAGATGAGCATTTCACATTCTAGCAGGTTCCCATGGGGTCATCTAGCATCCTGGCCAGCTCCCGGATGACTGACTGTCTAGTATTCTAGCGGGTTCCCAGAGGAGCACATAGTTTTCTAGCATGATCCCAGATGAGAATCCAGGATTCTAGCAGGCTCCCAGGTGGGCATCTGTATTTCTAGCAGGTTCCCAGATGAGCAGCTAGTGCTGTAACAGGCTCCCAGGTGAGAAGCTCGCACCCTTCCCTAGGCCCCCAGGCTCCCAGGTGATGCCCAGGGGCACTCCCAGAAGCAGGGCCTAGGCCAGGCTAGTCCACAGTCCAACATCCATCGAGTCATCACTCAACCCTGACAACAAGCCCTCGACTACACAGGGATATGCATCTCGGGGTCTCAGGCTGGGCTGCAATCCCTCAGCCCAGAACAGTTTATCATCACCTGGCCCAAAGCACCACAGGTTCCTCCAGGCATCACTGACTTCCACCCCTTCCTCTCTTTCTGTTGACTTCATCTAGAAGTCTCTGGCCAGTTCTAACTGCTCCTCATACACTTTCTTCCTTTTCTTCCTCACCAGCCTGTTCCCCCACGCCCCTTGCATGGGGCGCGGGGGGGTTCCCTTCACAGGCCTGCAGCCAATTCTTCTCCAGGCAAAACAATGGTGATTTCTTCCCTCACTCATGGGCGTCTCTTCCCCAAGTGTTTCCACCTTCACGGCTGCGTCCCCTGACCCACTCCACTTTCCTCCGATTTTCTTTAAGTTGAGTCATCTGAAACCAGGCTGCTGTGCTAACAATAGTTTGGCCTCTGAAATAAAAGATGTTGCAATTTGAGGAGAGAGTGTTATCACCACTCATCGTGTTGGATTCAAAATGGGGGAGCCGCTGAGATGGAAAAAAGGGAGAGAGCAGGGGAGAGATCGGCTGGCAACACTCTCATAGTTCCAGCTCATTAAAAATCTATTCAGGTGTCTATTTGTTTTTTTTTTGTCTCTTTCCCATTTCAATCAGAGCCTCTACCTTGGGGGAACAGTGTCTGGGAGAAGTGGAGGCCACAACGACCAAGCCTTCTCAAGGGAAGTTGTCCCGGCAAGGCTGTTCAAATGCCCTCTGTGGGCTCTGAAGGTGAAGTGGGGGCATCACCGAGGGGCAAGGTGCCCAGCCAGGATCCTGGCTCCCCAGCTGGCCTCGGGGTTCACGCTCTGCTCACCCTCTCTGGCCTTTGCTCGGGCCTGCGTGTGGGGGTCTCCTCCCTGGCTGACACACTTCAGGTCCGTCTGTTCTCTGCCCCCTTCACCCCATCTCTCGTGCTATCCTTGGGCAGCACCCCTGTGTCACCTCAAGTCTCATACTTATTTTCTCCCTGCTTCCTTTCACGTCCTCTCTGAATTTCCTGGGAGACCACAACTCTCCGTAGAAAGCCGAGGACAGGCTCCCTGAGCTCGGAGGGACGTGAGCAGCCAGGGGCAGGACAGTTAGTGTGGAAAAGAGGCGGCAGAGTTTCTGGAGCCAGCATCTGAACGCACACCTCGCTGCCCACGCGCTGACCCTGCTCCTCTCGGGACGACTAAATGCCCCTGCTATTACCCCATGTTTTCAGGTAGAAAAACCCAAACACCAGCATTTAAGAGGCCTGATCAGAAACGGTCAGGACTCCAATCTAGTCAAGCCCGACGCCGAGCCCCCTGCTGCTTCTCCACACTGAGCCTTGCTGCTTCCAATGGCAGTGGTTTCTAGCCAGGGGGTGTCTAAGCTCACAGAGGGACCCCCATGTTCCCACAGGCCAAGCACGTTCTACAGCTTGGACTTTGGACACATCTGACTTAGACTCCTGGGCAGAGAAGAGCTTCAGAGCCGCGAGGAACTACCCCTGGCTCCCTCTGCCCGCTCCGTGCCTGGAACCGCTCATCACGTGTGAGTTCTCCTGGCTAGAGAACCTGGGAGGAGGAGCCAGGTGCTCACCAGTGACCAGCCAGCAGCTGTGCACTGGCCGGAAGAACCTCGTCTTGCAGTGTTGTTCCAGAGCGCCTGAATCACGAGTGCTTACATCCAGATGGGCGGGGCGGGCCCAGAGGGGACCTGGGGTGTAGTCACAACAGGCAAACCGGGAGGGGTGACTTCCCAGCTTTTCCGCATTGTCTCTGGGGCGGGAGCTGCTCAGGGCCCGAGGACATCTTCCAGAGCTCGGGGACAGCTGAAGGCTGGCTTACCAGGGTTTTGTAGTCGATCTGCTGGCGGATGAGCTTGTCCTCGCTCAGCGAATAGCGCGCCTCTCCCGTGATGGCATCGATGGGGCCCTTCTCCATCTGTTGCTTGATGGCGCAGAACAGGGAGAAGAGGGGCTCCCCGGCACACTCCTGGGCACAGAGAAGAGCCATGCAGGGCGCTGTGGCCTCGGGCTGCAAGGCCCCCCCATTGCCGCCGCCCCTGTTTCTCCAAAGGGCCCTCCCTATGCCTCCGTTTCAATTCTCCTCTCTCCTGCCTGCTTTACTCTTGGTCTGTCAATCTCCGCAGTCAGTTGCATTTCTCCTGGCTCTTTGGGCCCAGGGTCTTACCTATTCT